CCCCCCCCCCCCCCTCTCCACAACCGTCTTCTCTTCTCCTCCGGCAACGATGGCTGATTCTGCATCTTCGGGCAATGTTACCTCCAACAATGAAACCTCCTCTCCAAATAATTCTCCCCATCTAGCCTTCACCACCATGTCCAATATCAAACTTCACATCCCTATACAACTCAGTCTCTCAGAACCAAATTACAAGAAGTGGAGTCGATTATTTCGTCTCTTGATCCTCTGCTTCAATCTCAAGGGTTTCATCGACGGCACAACCATTACCTTCTCCGTAGACGATGTTGAATGGTATCAATTTGATGCCCTAATCCAGGGTAAGATTCTGTCCACAATCACGGATGAGGACTCCGATCTTGTGCTTGCCAACAAACTCTCCGCTCATGCTCTATGGAGGGCAATCTACAATCTCTTTCACGACAATAAGCATGCACGAGCAGTGCAACTGGAATATCACTTCCGCACAACCGTGAAAGGCCATCTCTCCATCAACGAATATTGTTAACTTCTGAAGAACCTCTCTGAATATCTTGATGATGTGGATGCACCGGTCACCGAACATGCACTTGTACTCCAGGTTCTTTAAGGCCTCCCCCACGACATCCGCACACAGGTCCAATTTTTGCAATATCAAAATCTGCTCCCCACGTTCTTGGAAGTTTGGTCCGCCTTGCTCCTTGTTGAATAGCAGCAGACCGACACCCTCTATGGTGCTAGCACGCCGTCCACAGCCCTCCTTAGTATTGGAGGTGGCGACGGTCATGGGGGCAGTGCACATCGACAGGATCGGGGCAGTGGCTAAGGCGACAGATCTGGGAGCAGCGACAGCTTTGGCAATGGATCTGGCGGCGGCTATGGCGGTTGCGGTAGGCTCTCAGGTAGTGGCAGGGGCTGCCGCGGCAGGGGCCGTGGTCGAGGTTGTGGCGGCGGCGGGCATCAGCGGCAACCATCGGGCCCAAATCCTTGGATTTTTCTCTCCCACTCACCTGGCGTCCTTAGGCCACAGCCCATGCCCACTTCCACAACAACCCATATTTACCCAATCCCTCCTACCCACCAATCCCAACCCACGACCCATATTCCCCAAACCCAAATCCCTCCCCATTTCCCAACCCATTCCCACACTACCCAATCCAGCCCACCCCCTACCCGTACCACACCCCCAGCACACACCCAAGCCAACCCACCCCACTTCACTACCCCACCCAACCCCACATCCCTGGCCCACAGCCTTGAGAACCTCACCCTCACCCCAGACTACCCCAACTCGTTCATGGACACGAGAGCTTCCCACCACATAACTTCTGACCCAGGTACTTTATCTCATGGATTTACTTCAAGAATTAATTCTCCCTCGCATATTATTGTTGGTAATGGTTCTAAAGTGAGCACTACTGGTTTTGGTAAGGGTACCCTTCCACATCCCCTTCCCTAACCCTAAACAATGTCTTAATCTCCCCTCATATCATACATAATCTCATATCTGTCCCTCAGTTTGCTCGTGATAATAATTGCACTATTCAATTTGACTCATGTGGTTTCTCTGTAAGGGACAAATTGATGGGAGCCGTGATTTATCGATCCAATAGTGATGGACCTCTTTACCTTATCTCTCAAGCGCCGTCTAACGCCCATTTCCATTTGGCCCGAGTCGATCTGTCCACCTGGCACCGCTGGCTTAGACACCCCAGCCCCGCTGTTCTCCATGGCGTGTCATCTTCCTTAGCTAGCTTCCCTAAATCAAAATTAGATTTTTTATGTCATGCATGTCAACTTGGCAAACATGTTTGCCTACCTTTTCAGTCGTCAAGTCATGTTTCAACTTTTCCTTTTTAATTAATGCATACTTATTTATGGCAATCTCTTGTCCTTAGTGTAACTGGTTTTAAATTTTATATGTTTTTATTAGATGATTTTTCCCATTACTTATGGATTTTTCCCCTCCACCACAAATCTGATGCTTACTCACATATTGTTAAATTTCATTCCCTTGTTAAAAATTAATAACCATAAAATCTATACAATGTGACAATGGCACTGAATATAGAAATAACCCCTTGCTACATTTTTTGAATCTCTGGGAATTCTCTTCCGTTTCTCCAGCCCCTACATGATCCAACAGAATGGCCGTGCAGAACACACCATCTGCACCATAAATAACACCGTTCGCACCCTTCTATTAGAAGCTAATCTTCCTCTTCACTTTTGGGTAGAAGCCCTACACATGGCCACTTACCTATTTAATATTCTTCCCACCACCACCGTTAAGAATTGCACCCCTCATGAAGCTCTATATCGCACTCCCCTGTCCTACACACACCTCCGCATCTTCGGATGCCACTGCTACCCTAATTTCTTTGCTACCGCTCCCCACAAACTTGCCTCATGTTCTGCGCGGTGCATCTTTCTTGGTTACCCAGAGGCCTAGCGTGGCTATCGGTTCCTGGACCGTACCACTCATAAGATCATTATCTCCCGTCATGTCACCTTCGATGAGTCCTATTTTCCCTATGCCCCCCATCCTCTCCCTCT